GTACGTTCGTGGACATTCGGGCGTCTTAGCTTACTAATAATGTGGATGATGTGTATCCTGCTGTTGCTGGAGTTGCTGATGTTTTGATCATAAACTATGTTGCTGATGATTTTATTTGGAGAGGGGGTGGGGGTGGGGGGGACTTTGTAAATTACATTGTCAAGGCTGATACTAGGCTGACAGCAATGATTGTGTATTGTGGTGACGTTATTTATCTTGTTGCTGCTATTGTTGCTGTTGTCATTCTGATCATTGTTGTTGTTGTTGTTGTTGTTGTTGTTGTTGTTGTTACTGTTGTTGTGGTAAATAATGGTGTTGATAATAAATGCAACAATAGTAATTATAGTACTAAAAATGGTATTCTGAGACGAGTGTCTTTAGTTAGTCCAACTATTTTTATTTATTTTTAAATATTTCTGTTTTTATTGTTGCTGTTGTTGCTGTGTGTTTACGGTTGTATAAAGAGGAGGGGAAGGGGGTGGTGTTATAACTGAAATTCTTTGTGCTCGGAAATCATTGTGTCCTGTTTGTTTGATCATATGTTATAGTAAACATAAAATTGCTTTTAATTCTTCCCAGATTTCAGTTGGGTTTCTGTTGGAAACGATTCTGCTGGGCTTCATTTTTGTCAAGATCGCACGACCTAAACATAGAAGACACACTCTCGTATTTAGGTAGGTGTTTCACAAGCTTGATTAGACTGACAGCTACACACATCAGCGCCTGTAGTGTAGCGGTTAGGTGCTTCACTGTCGCACGCAAGAGAACCGAGTTCTGTTCTCGAGTAGGGATTTTTTTTTTTAATTATCGAGTATCTCGGTCGTCCTGTTGGGATGTATCCTTCTCAGTTCGAGTTTGCCCTGACAAGCAGGGTTGGGAGCCTTCTTTCTAAATTATCTAAAGTGTGTAGACAGTGGTCTACATTTATTACCTTTACCTTCAGTATTGCAGGGAAAAGGCAAGGCTGACAAACAAAAAAAAAGCAGAGAGAAAGGAAAGAAATTAGATCTGGTACTCTAACCAAGCTAGATGTGAGTGCGCGCGCGCGCGCGTGTGTGTGTGTGTGTGTGTGTGTGTGTGTGTGTGTGTGTGTGTGTGTGTG